GTCACGAATGCACACCCCGTTAAGGTGTAGTAACCGTGATGTTCAAATCTGATATTTGCGAGTGTACGGTTAACTAGACGAACCGAGTTTCGAATGGGAAGGGGGAGTCTGGGTGAAAAGGAGTAGGAGTAGCACCTCTAAGGTGGCAGACATTTGTCAGTGGAGAATCCCCTATCGCTTCGGTTTTCATCATTTACACAACTCGCACCTGCGGCTCCATGAAGCTGAGGTGTCAGTGGCAACACCCTGAGAAATCGCTCGTCAGGGAGGCTAAGTCAGATTAAGCGCAATCGATGTATGAAACCTCGGCGAACCGGCACATATCGTGCGAAGACAGCTACTCCTGAGATTCACTGTTTTGTCCAACAACCATATAGGAAATCTTTCTAACTGGTAGGAATATAGAGATCCCTAAGCTGAATCCCCACCGATCGAATGGTGGTGACTGAGCAACTATGCACCACAGACTACAGGTTTATAGTTTCCACTTTGCAGTACAAATGCTCCAAATAAGTGGTATCAAAGTGAATGCCTAAATTACAGTGTTACACCTGATTGGCAAGAAAAATCCTTTCTCAAATAGCTTTTTGCATAAATACTGGAGAAACAATGTAAAAGTAGAAAAAACAATCTCTAGGAGGTTTATCTCACTAACTTAAAGTGTGAAATCTAGGTAGACAAATGAAAGAAAACATACGGACGAATGCTACCCTATAAACTAACCGAGTCAAACGAGGAAATGGGCCAAAACTGACAACTTCGCACACATTATTCTTAAGTTTCAAGCTTAATCTCACGTGTTGTGCAGGAAAATTTTGTCTCGTGCTCACGTATCCCTATTTTACATTCCTCTTATAACCCCGTCCTTCCCCCCTTCCATCGTGTGCAACCACAATCACCTGTCTGGTAAACTCAGATCCCAAACATCAGTACTCTCGAAGAACTCGAGACAGCAATCCGCAGTGGATTTCGCGGAAAACGAGACAGTGGATAACAAGACAATCATCAATGAAACCGAAATCCCCAGGTCCGACAGTTCACGTGCGAAAAGTGACAGAAAACCTGCCAAAGCAAGCAGTGCCCGAGGAAGTATTCGATCGTCGTCGAGGGAGCGAAGTAGGCTTTGGGATATCTACTCCAAGGTAGCTGTAATTCCGATTGAAACAGATACAACTCCACTGAAATATTCCTGTGGAACTCATCATCTTGAAAAGCCCGTAAAACTATCCGCGGACAAAGATTCCAAATTTGTTATCATTCCACGTTTGACAGCTTCGCCAAAGCGAAGACAACCAATACTAGAAACCACATCCCTGACCGTACTTGATCCAACCATAGTGCCGCATTCGCCTAGACTGACAAGCAAAAGCCCCTACGCGTATGGGGAACGACTGCTCAACTCACCGAAGAAGGAACGCGTGAAAAACGTAACTCCAACAGGATCCCACAGTTCAATTCGACAACCACAGCTAACTGTGAGTCCCAAAGACACTGTCAAGCCAGGCCCGAGAGTCCGCGTTCAGGATCACAACGAAATCCCAGATAATCCTAGCCGTTATAAGCTAGAACCATCTGTCGCGCGTGTGGAAGATCAGCACACTGATCGACCTATCGAACCGAAGCGGCAGAGACGAGACCAGATGAGTGAACTGGGCCCGGTTGAACTCAAAGTAACCACCACCACCACTAACACTAGTATGCGAGATCCGAGAGAAAAACAATCCGAGGTGAAAAAGTTGCGTGAGCTTCGATTCGAGAAGACAGAATCCCATTTGGAAAGAGTTTCTCGACCTGCGTATGCATCCACTTCCACGACAGATGATTGTAATCCCCAGGATCAAACAAATACTTCCAAACTCTCTACTGCGCAAACCTTAGTTGAGAAGGAATCTGTTTTGTAGTATAGTTATTGTATCTTCTATCGCATTTTTGATCAAATTTGGCCGGTTGGAAACAGCAGGAGGAAAAACGAATGTAAGCAGAGCACCAATCAAAAGGTATATTACACAACGAACGGGGTAAAAAAAAGAACAGCGAAGTATGTTGTGTTCAGTAAATTTTTAGAAAAAGTTCATTGCGGGACAGAGCAGTTTACGTGGTTTGCCTGACTCGCAGTCAGTAAAACGAACAAAGCACCCGGGGAGAAGTAATTTCCTTGATTCGGTTCAGCCGATGACCTATGCATGAGAAAAATGAGCCAACCATGTGCAAACAGTATCCATGTAATGTATACGGATGTTTTAGTTTTCATTTTTTTTTTTACAACCACCAACGATGCACTTTCGTGCTTCAGTTTTAATTGCTGTCTCATGGTTGCCAATTTGGACGCATGAATAAGAGGGAGAGGACGATTCAAATNCAGTTTCAACGTGAAAAACGAGCAGACATGAAGACTATGGTTGCAAACAAGTTGAGATACACGAGCGCCACTGGTTGCGACAATCAACTAAGTTACTCACTGTCTCTAACAATTGATTAAAGTGATCCCGATGACCTCACCCAGGAAGTCTAAGGCGACCTATGTAAGCAAGTCTTCTGAACAGGGTTTTTAAGTTGGGTAGCCTCCAGTCAATAAGGTGCTGTCCGTTACACATTCCACCTGTCTCATTGGGTGCATGAGACCAACGGTCGATCCCGAACAGCGGACCGGTAATCGAAGCACCATCGAACAACATTCTAAACCGAAACCCGAAGGCCTTGTATGACAGGCCTCTAGATGCTCTCACACGGGTGCTTCGGTCACGCTCCCTCGTCGGATTTATGTCTAACTGCTTTGCGAGTCGGACTTTTGAGTCTAAGGCTTCGTTTGGGGTTCCTCATGAAAAACCTGCAAACTCCTGCTGCCTTGCGGGTCAGACTTTTGACACAGGTGTGTATGGGCGACCATTCATGGAAGAAGCAACACTCACTGTTCGATCTCATGAGTTTAATCACATTAATCTAGAACACCCCAGAACAAAATCAGTAACCAATCCCGGGCAAAGTGGCCGTATATGAAAGCTAAAGCCACTGGTTCACCTTTCGCAATCTAGCGATTCTTCATCTTGGCTTTTGACAGCTGGTATAACCTGTAAAATATGTAAAAGACAGGTGCATTGTACGAATTCAAATTGACGTATCTAAGGTAAGTTGTAGACACAGATTGGTTGAATCTAACAGATCGTAACTCAATAATGTGACGAAAATGTCACCAGGCAATCGAATCTCTGTGCAGCATTACTATCCGCCTCGAACAGCACCATAGCGATTAAACTCCCCAGTGAGCATAGGGTGTTTGCAAAAACCCATTTCGAACACTTAAAACGACCGACGAAGTCTGTGCTGGTTAGACAGTGAGTTTCATGCTTGTTTGTCATAGACCAACACACCCTAAGCTTAATCGTGACATTGGTTCTTTCAACTTAGTTGAAAAATGTTTCAAGACACCAACAGACTCCTGGCATCCCTTGATAATAATGTCCACATACTCGAACAACATGATAAACCTGATCGAACTATTGCAGTATATTCGGAGATAACTTTGCCGCTATGGGCTGGTGAAAGATGCATGAGTGTGTACATGAGGGCATTTGGTGCGCAACTAGCGCATCGAATGAACTTTAGCTGTTCAGGTTACGTAAATTGCCTACATGCTGTATTATTAGTTCCCCTAAACCTAAAGGGAAATGAAATCAAGCCGTTTTCGTAACAGTGATTTATATGTAGAACATGAGAAACGCACAGTCACTTAGATTACTTTGAAAATTGGTCGTTGTTTTTCAATCAACAGAAGGCATAATTGAAGTTGGGCACTATCCACCAGACGGAAACCTGACGCTCAGTTCTTGCGGAAGAATGGAACGACCTCTACACAATATCCACCATAAGAAAAATTAAAAACAGGAAAAGGAAAACCCTAAGCTTAATGGCTGGATCCGATGAAAATCGCCATAAGCAGGATATCAGCTTCGACTGGAGATGTTGGTCAGCCGACTTGATTCAATGTCACTGGTATGCTCCGGGTTAGGAAACACAAANCTGTCGTACGGTTTTCATACCATGCCCGGCCCAGATAGGCCTTATGAGGTTCGTTACTCCAACTGAATAGCGGTCCTATTCTACAAATAATCAATCTATAACGAGTAATGACAAAACTATCTAGCAGATCCATGAAAAGGTTGTTTACCGTGGGGTCCAAACACCACATGCAATTTACCTCCCACGGCCTGCGTTCGGCGTCCAAACGGTTAACTGACGATTGGTTCCTTTTCAGTATAGACCAAATGTAAAAGACAACCCTGCCACTGACGTAGACAGGCACAGGGAGCATGAGGAAGAGGTGAAAGTCGAATGACATAATAGAGAAACTTTTGACAGCTCCATTATCGAGCACATTGTCTCTTGGAAGATGGCTTGGACAATAAAGATGTAACAATCAGTGAGAATGCCATTGCGCTTTCCAAATCAACAACGTTTGAATAACATCGAAGCAATAAGATACAAATGTCCTTCGGCTTATATTTCGTCCATCGAAGAACAAATCTTCAAGCATCTTACGGGAGTTTTGATGATTTCCACAAAAATTTAGTATTGATCTAGGTGTATATTTGAGGCTCAGGTGTTGACATGCAATGTGGTTTGACTCAGTGTCAGACCAAACATGCATCGGTGGAATTCATTAGCACGTCTACGTGATACAAAAGCAGTTGTAATAGTCACTATTGACCATGTACGGTCTCCTAAGGGGTAAAAGTATATCTAAAGTCACCGGCACTCGACGTAATTTCCAGCTGACGTGTGATTAAGAAGCTAAATATTTTTGCTTCCGGTCGATCGGATGGCTTCACAAAGGACTACGACGGAGAAACTTCAAGCACCCCTGCATATATTTAATCACTATAAATATAACGCAAAATTCTGATTTTGATAACCGCTTTTTCAAATGCAGCATACACAATTGGCATTTCATCGAATTTTTATCGTTCCACACGATTTGGACGCTTATTGGCCATGGGAATCTAAGGATTTGGTATGAGAGTATTTCAGCGCCAATCAGAGTAGCACCTGCAGTGTTGAGTACTAGTTCGCTTCTCTCCGTGCCCTTGAGAAAGATTCGTTCTCTGAGCTTTGTATTATTTTTCTTTTTTATCGCCAGTTTACCCATGAAGTTTCACAGAACGGATTCAATTATTCGAGAACTAGCCTGAGGTACTAGTTAGACTTTATGTTCTGGATGGCGACTAGCCCATGTGGTAGCCCCCACGAAGAAACAGGCCAAGAGATCAGATACATTCTTTTCATTTTCTAAAAACTACATTATAGATAAACTAGGATAGGCCTTTTGTCATTTTTTCGTGAGCCGTTATGATCCGTGACGGCAAATGCAACTGTTCATTCTTGATGGCAGCCAACTGGTCAACAAGACAAGCCTGAATGAACTTCATAAAGCAAGCATGCAGTAAACGTACCGTATTGGAAACTGTTTCTAAAAGCTGTTGTTGTAAACTGAATGTTTTCAGCAAGCCCGAGATATCGCATAAATGTGAATCCACCTGACTGAGGCTATCCACCAGACTGCTGCAAAGTCATGCATTACCATCCAAACGGTTGCTGCACCAACCTGCAAAATTCGTTGCTCAACTGTATACTCTGAGGAAAATGCTGGTACTTCGATACACAATCAGCTAAATCATAGAACTGGTCTCTAAGACATTCACTATCCGACAGTAGGGAAGAAATCTGTTTCATTGGAAGTTCCGATGGGTGTTCAGTTGTGGTGAGCTGCAAACCATAATCATTATTTTTTGTAGCATTCTTATCATGCCAGGGATTGCTTATTGTGTGATATTACCTCGATCGCTTTTTCCTCCAGTGCACATAATTCGTCTATCAGATCTGGAATCAAGTCCTGCAATTCGAGGAGTAAGCACAAAATGAAGTTCATCTTTGCAATGAATTAAACAGCAAATATAATTCATTTTGTGTTAGCGTAAGGAAAATAATAAACAATGAATAGCTGCGACTAAGATCAAACCGCCCCGGTATTCGACGACGGTAAGCAATATTTAACCGTGCATTCGCAAAAAAAAATGAATATCTGAATGAAGACCAATTTAGAATGAGTTTTGAGTAATCTGGGTTCGTACTCACAACCATCAGTTCATTGTCAACTATATGACTACTTCCGAGGCCGTATCCAAAATAGTATTTACATCGCAAGAACCCGAAGCGTCAACCAGCCACTCTATGTAACCCCTTATCGATGCAAACGTGAACTCAGACTGATCACTTAGAAATCTTGGACAGAGAGTGCAGTAGGTTTACTTTGCACAATTTGTATCCGGATGTATTTCGCTATACCTCATCAGGTGCATACTACAGATTATATAATATTCATGACCACCATTAGTTGATAAAAAAATACCGTTAGCAACTCTCCAACCCAGTGTGCTGGTGGACTATCAGAGTTCATCGCGAGGCTAGCTTCGCCCAAACAAGGAATGCAGAACAAAACCCGGCAGACAGATTGAACAACGACCAACAGCCCTCATTGAAGCACAAACTCACTAAGAGGTAAAGAGATTATAATCTCTCAAGAATACCCGGTGACTGCTTCAGCACATTCGTGGTATTGATCCCAAAAGCTACGAAGTGTAGGCTGGGTCGTATCTTACGCGAAGGTGACACTCAAGGTTTGAGCATCTCTACTGATGTTTCACATACATGACGTGAAGCGTACCATTAAGAGGCATGAGTAACAGTGACTTCGAACATACAAATATGTTTTATGTATATTATGCATATATATACATAGTGCGATTGCTCCATCGTTTCACATCTTCATCTTCGTGTTGAGAAGGCAGGGGGGCGCGTCCCGTATGTGCCTCTTCACCGCCGGTACCGATAGCAACCCGCTCAGTGG